TGCTCTCGGCAAGTCGCACAGAACTTACTTTGAAGACTCTTTAATGTAAGACTTGTTACAGAAAATAAGTGTCTAAAACGGTAAACAAGATGTAAGACCAAAGGCCAGAATAAAGTATAGGCATATAACAAACTGAGAACGAGGTTTCGCTGCTATATATGACATTTCCCTCCGCGAAAACATAAAATTATAATATAATAAGTATACAATGTTATAAATGACATCTGCCTAGTCTTTCACGGTATTATTGACCCTGGTATATAGAAGCTTTCTTCAACATAGAAACAATTTTAAGACTATTCTACTTGCGTGTGTAATACTGATAATTTTTCTTGAGTGAGTCTTTAATTACACACTCACACATAGAAAAAAATTCCATATCTAATACTATTACTCTTCGATTTATTATAAAGTAGAATCGCGTGGTATACATATATGAGAATAATTATATTTATTGTTAAAAAAGGAATATTTTTACTTCTAATTAAAATTCATATATGTTACTTTGTTTCTTGATAATAAAAATTAATTTTATTTAATCTGAAGAAAGAGAATAAAAATGATTTTAATATTGTTTTATATTTATGCTGCATAAGGGGCTACGATAAAATGAAATCAAGAATATATTTGTTTTGTTATCAGAGAGATCCTCTCCAAGAGAATATAAATAAAAAACACTGTGCGCCTCAATTTCGATGTTTTGCGTACCATCGTGAATTAGTGGTTAATATTGCATTTTTGTCTTTAATTTTTATTTATCTGTCAAATATATTTATATCTACAACAATAAGAAGATTACAATATAAAGCGCAACAGTATCAAGGTATGAACGACGACCGTTCCCTCGATCTCGAAACAATTCACCGTCGCCCTAGCCGTCTGGCGAACACGGTAGACGGAGCCGGGAGTAGTCAGGGGCCCCGACCGTGGAAAGCAGAAAGAACTCAGGAAGGAAAAGAAGCCGCGGCACCCGAACCACCGCGACGGTGGTAGTGCGCGTTCGAGGGCCCGCGATGGTAGTGGGGCACCCGCCAAGAGGGAGACCTGCAGTCGCTTTCGCGCCGCAAGGAGAGAGAACGACGATACTCGTGCACACACGTACATATCCGTATACGCGTACCGCGAATATAAGACGGGGAGAGGAGGGGGGGGGGGGGGGGGGAAGACCTCCCCCGGTGCAACTGGCGAACAGCCGGACCCGACGGGTTAACTGTACAACCACTTATATACCTCGACGCCGTAGGAATGCGGCGACGATGATGCCGTCGTCCCATGAAATAACGCGCGACATGCCGCGGCATGACATACCTCTCTCGCCGAGAATCATGCGTGTCCGCGCGAAGAGGGCCCGCGGGTAGAGAGAAACCCACCTTATACTGGATGATCCCATGCGCGGATCACGTCATTCATTCACCTGTGCCGCCTCTACCGTTGACCGTCTCTCTACCAAACCCGTCGTCGTTCTGCTGCCAACTCGCCAACTGATCTATTGTTCCCTGTAAATCCCGGTTGTTTGCGGCTCGACGATTCACCGAGTCGGATCGCGGAAGAGCCTTCTGTATCGCGTCAGAATCGCTCGAGCATCAGCTTTTTCCACCTCGGATTGATTCGCTTGCGTTCACGTGGTGATTATGTCTAATCACATTTTTGCGGACGACGCGGACGCGCTGATTTTTCGCGACATTAACGGCAACATTTTCATACGATTTTGCAATGGAATGGTGAAATTGTAAAGGAATGGGGGAGGGTATAGACTTTTATTATATTATTTCGGTATATAGATGTTTTGCTCTGGACAGGATAATCTTACTTTCGAATAATGTATTATATATCTCTATATGTTTGTAAAATTTTTAGAATGCCTAATTAACTTTTGACTTGCACTCTGAGTAGAAATAATTATGAAGCAAAAACGCAACTACTTTGAAAACGAGATAAAAATTATCAGGATTTGCGAAAATACTGAAATAACAGTAACTAGACATTTCTACGGGTATATTGATTTTTTTGCGACTAATGACATAATTTTTATATGGTTATAATGGAAAGGTATACATAGTATAAGGTTTTTTTATCTTATTATTTGAGTATTTTGCTCTTCGTAGAAATTTTCAAATAATACTGCTGTAAAACTTGTAAAATACCAATTAATTTTTAAACTTTAAATAAAAATAATTGTGAAATGTAACTATATCTTAAGAGTAAAGAGAAATTACCGAGATTTGCGAAAATCGTGAAATAATTGTTTTTGAATATTTATATCTTAATTATTAATTTATCTATTTAAGATTTTGATCTCTCTCTCTCTCTCTCTCTCTCTCTCTCTGAATAGCATCGAAAGAGAGGTACTCGCAAAATGCTGTTTGTCAAGTCGTGAAATATGATTACTAACAACGAATGAGTCTGAAGCCCCTGAACGGCTTGTTCGTTGCAGCGTTCGCCTCGTAAAGTCCGGCGCTCATGAATATCGAATTACGGGAGCTAGATCGCGGAAGATCTTCGTTACCTCGTTCCACGTACCAGAACCGAAGGGTTTTTCTTCGTTTCGGTCGCTTCGCGCGCATGTGGCTCTGTCCGGTTTGGTCGAGTCATTCATTCGAATAGTTAGTCTCCTCTGTGAAGTCCAGTACCGTTTTCTCACTTCTTATGGACCTTAGAATTGGATCATCTCGCTAACCAAACGAGTCTCTCTCGGTCGTTCCCCGTCTTTAATTCACCTCCGAGATCATAGGATTCTTGCGAGACACCACGGTTCTACTTTTATAGGAATACCATTACGTCGATCCTGAGAATTGAAGTTCTACCGATAGAAGGAAAGAAAGAAAAAGAGATAGATTACGATGACGTACTCTCGCAGAGCTGCATTATAATTAATTCGTAATTGCTTTCGAAGAAATATTAACCGTCGAGAAGCAAGTAAACTTTACTTCGCAAAAGTCACGAGGATTGATCTTTGTACTTTAATTAATTTTTACTCTACTGTTATGTAAGTTATATAGGAACTGCAAATACTTAAGAAATTATTTTTTAAATGACTCGCATTTTTACTCGAAATATTTTCATTCTGCGTAACTCAACATAAATAAATAAATAACTCATTTTATAGTACATCCCATGGAAATCAGGTTATTCCAGACGTTAATTCGTTCGCGAGGTTTCCTCTCGAGCTTGCAAAGTTTAACCTCGACTCGCTCGGAGTAGTGAATGGAAGGATTCGTCGCGGGATTGGCAGAACGCGGGGACGAGAACGGTCGGAGAGAGATGATATTCCGAAGTTAAGGAGAATTCCGCGGCAGCGGTGTGCAATATGTGAGATATCCCTTTGGCTTGTGCGCCGTGTTAGATTGTGTACGCGATCCCGTCGTTCATTCACCTGTTACGTCTCTCTCCCGCCGTTCCTTTCCTCCTTCGTTCCATCCTGCTCGTTTGCTCGTCCGTTTGCTCACTCGCTCTCGCTGCCTGGCCTTTCTCCCTCATTCTTCGACGTGATTCTACCATGCTATTACTTGTACCATAGTTCACGCTCGGTGGTCCGCGAGGTCGCGGAAAAGAGAGACAGAGATGAACGGAGGTCGAGGAAAGAGGTCTCGCGAGCTTGCAACCAAGCTAACGTTCTATCTCTTCTCTATATCGATCACGTCACTAATGCGTGATTATTTTTGCGAATATCGTACAAATTGTTTTCTATGCCTCGTACTTTATTCTACATCAATTTCATTTGAAAAATTATGTAAGATTATATCTTAATTATGTAATAATCAGACTTTATTCGTACGTCCTGATTTATATCTAATCTAAAAATTAACATGTTTAACTTCTATCACTTTATGTATATATATAATATATATAAATGTAAATATATGGAAACCTGAATGATCCGTAACGAATGGATATTGCAACAAACAATTAATGTCAAGGATACTTATTACGTATTACGTCAATTTACTTATGATTATTCTGCCAATAATTTTACCTGTTGCCGGGCATTGCAGTCCGCGTAACTGGAAGCGAAACTCGAGGCTTTGTCGTTCATTGACATCTTATTTATGAGCGGCGATTCTGGTCGAGTAAGCTTAGCCGTTCTTCGGTAGGCATGAAAGAGCGAGCGGTATATACGGCTGAATCTAGAGGAAGCCTCGCGGCTCTCCAAGCTCGCTTCGCTCCAATCGCAGAGATGGAAAAATCTGGAGAATGTCGAAGCCGTCGACCAGTTTCAAGAACTCACTGCCACATCGAAGAATGAGAGAAAGAGAGATAGAGAAAGATTGTGTGCCTGTGTGTGTATACGCGCAAGTTGACTCTAGCGCGGAGCCACCTTGTCTCCTTTGGTTTCGTTCTTATCGTGTTGAGTCCTTTTCTCTTTTTCTCCCTTCTTGTCTCTTTTCTTCGCTCTTTCCCTAATCTGGTGGCGGTGGAACGGCCCCTATTTTTGCATACCGCCGTTGCAGTTCATCGGTGCACAACCTTACGGAATTCGCAAACGGATGCTTCTTGCGCTCGGTGCAAGATCGGGAGATCTTGATACGACTGGCACAGAAATGTCACGATACTTATGTACTGGAATGCGATCGCGTGAAAGAATCGTTTATCACCATAGAAAAAATGAGTTATATAGAAAATTTATTACTGATATTATTGAACTTAATTTGTTCCGAAATTTTTTTAGCTAGTAATCGCGGGTGCACTTTAAATGAATGTACCCTTCGTTTAAAATAATGATTTCTTTTTTTATTATGAAGGACAAAATTTGAAGAATAAGATTATGTAACTAAAACTTACGTAAAATTGTAAAAAAAAAATTTGAAAAATTCATAAATAACTTTTTGTTAACGTATGGCGCATAAATATTCAAATCTATTGGATTTGTGAATATCAATTAGGATCAAGTTTTTCTTTAAAAAAAAATTTTAAAGCGAGACCTTACATTTTTAATTCATAATAAATTCATGTAAATATACGCAAATTAAAAGTAGCGTTCGATATTCTGAATTTTGTTACAGAAATCTCGCGATCGGGATCGGGATACAAAACTTCCCTGAAGGATTAGCGGTGGCCTTGCCCCTTCAAGCCGCCGGGATTAGCACGATGAAGAGCTTCTGGTATGGACAGCTCTCGGGGATGGTAGAGCCTATCGCCGGTGTCCTCGGTGCAGCCGGAGTGACGCTCGCTGCACCTGCGCTACCTTATGCACTTGCCTTCGCGGCCGGTGCGATGATCTACGTTGTGATCGACGACATTATCCCGGAAGCGCATCAAAGGTATGTACCGTATAATCCACTTGTCCGGAAAAATTTAAAACTGCAAAACGACTCCTATTTACGCTTTTTACAATGTTCCAAATAACGGACGCTTAACTCGCTCGCAAGATCGCTGCAACACGATAGGAGCCTTTCTCGAAAATGTACAAATGACGTGATCTCAAGTTTACTCGAGCCTTGAAGCTATTCGACAAAAATCATAGATAATAAACCTGAGTGTTACCGATATTGACTGCAACTGCATTTCCGATAAGGAACTTTATGGTCGCGCATCGGAAAATGCACGTGTTATTGAAAAAGCGTGGAAGGTGGTGTTGCATGCAGAAGGGTGAAGCCGGTTTGCGCAAAGGGAGTTGGGCGCAACTTGTTCCCTTAACTGGTTCCGGCTTCTCGTTCTTTCTCCTCTCCCTTCTCCTTCTCTCTCTTTTTCTTCCTCTCTCTCCCTCTCCTCTCCCTCCCTTTCTCTGTCACTCTTTCTCTTCGTTTTTTTTAAACACCGTTTGTACCAGAGGCACCAGTCCACAGTGCACTTGCACCCGTTTCCGTCTCACGTTTCACCCTCTGCCCATTCACGACGAATTAGAAGTCCAAGCCTAGTCTTGGAGTCAGAAGGGCGGAAGACGCTTTTCCCACCGACACAATGGTCCTTTATTTCGGGATTTATTCTCTCATCCTCCGGCGTGAATGCGCGGATAGCCGTTCGATGACGATCTTTTGATAACGCGCGATTCTCCAATCTAATCGTTTCTCTCTTTGACAATGAATATAAGCGTCATTTTCTTCTTCACAATTGTAACCAGCACACAGTTTCATTTATTCTCGCTCTTTGCTTTCTTAAAAATATTATCTACACTGTATGAAATAAATGATACCGATTAATTTGTGGATGAAAATTAAGAAGACAAGTATACGATCAATTTACACAAATCAATTTAGAGATTACCGACTCGTGCAACGCAGTTTGTAAAATTTCATTTTTTTTATGTCTCTTATAAGTTATTAGATTTATGAAGTTTATATCAAATTAACTGATAATAATTTTTATCATCCGTCTTATTTAATATCCATTTATTTAATTTTATCTATCGCGTGATAGGTTATCAGCCTTGCGGCAATCGGTTAATTGCAATTCTTACAACCTAACGTGACGAACTACTCGTGTATGTTGTAATTCATGTATACTTTTTATTCCTTATGTTCTTCATTCGATCCAAAGTCGCTAGAATTCAGCGAGATCGTTCCGGCGACCGCGCGAAACGTCCGGAATCCATTTCGACCGTACAGAGCAGCGAAGCGCATAAATATAAAGAAGAAAAAAAATTCGTGTCGCGTATGTCCTATGAATTTCTACTCGTGTCAAACGGACGCGCACACACGTATACCCATACGTACGTACTCGTACGTATCCAAGTATCTACGATGTCCGTATTCGAGAGCGATTACGGTACAATGGCGCGTGACGGCAGTGCCGTAGTTAGCGCGCCGCTGGCAAAACGGACGTGGCGAATTTCTTTCCCAGGCCTGGCGGCGGCCTAGCTGAAGAAGGTGCATTGTCATTATAATTGGCTCCTTTTGTATTTCGCGTGCGATCTAACCGCCCGGATACTCGAGCGCGAGCGCACGGTACATACGTTTTTTCTCTCTCTTTCTCGTCGCGATTCTCTCGTCAAGGATCCCCTGAGACAGTCGGCTTCAACTCGCTCCCTCGGGAACCCTCCGGGTGGCCGGAAAACACAAAAGTGAAAACAGATCGCTCGTTCTCTCCCGTCTTTCCTCTTCTTCTTCGTGGAAACCGTTGCTCGACCCCCACGAAAGGAGAGTCAAGCGATTCTTTTTCCAAGAGAACCGATCGATCTCCAATTTACATAGATATGTGGTTGTTTTTTACACGAAAAGAATGGTTTTGCCGAAGGGTATCTAAAAATTTAATTATATGATACAGATCTGAAAATAAATATTGTTGGAATATCAAAATAATTATTTTAGACGCTCAAGCTGATTAATAGAGTATCATATTTTTTGCAGCTCATCATGCTTGAGCTTTCTATACAAATACTTTGATGGTCCAATAAAATTATTTTTAGATTTTATCTATTAGGTTAGTCAAAAAGTAGCTTTGTTTTTTTAGCTTAAAATTGTATATTTTTGATAAAATTGAACGAAATGTAAATTTAAAAAAAAGGGTTTAAAGTTCGGAATTTCTACTTTCGAAAGGTTACTAAATTTCTTGAATTTCTATGGGTTAGGTAATTTTTACAATAAAAACTATCAGTTGAGAAAAATAGAAAATTTTTTTTTCATTTTGTGAGCAGGTCACATATCAAAAAAATCTGCAAAAATATTCGACTACCTGTTGTAAAAGCTTGAAAGTTTTCTCTACAAAATTGTTTTTTAAAAATGTTGCTGATTTTTTGTTGCTACGTTGCTAACGATAAAAAATAAAAGAAGCATTCTATTACTCCGTTACAAATCATTATACCATATTCAGAAAACAGATTTTTAAAACTGAAACTTCATCAAATGGTATATAATTGCCAAATTTTAAAAACATGTAGACATGGTATACAATTTTAAGCTTAAAAAGCGAAGCATTTTCTGACCTACCTGATAGCTATATTTTAGATATTTTAACAAAATTGTGCTTTTCGTATAATGCACACAGTAGATAGTACATTTTCAAAATTCTAGCAATCACACACACACACACACACACACATCCGAGAAGTATGATCAAGTCCTTTAGAAGAGAGAATATGAAGTCACCTTTGTGCATATACAAATGCTAATACGCGTATTATTAGCAAATTGTTATTCTTTAAAAAATGGCTATGAATACGCCTGTAAGTGCAGTAAGTGCTCAACTCGCAACCTGCAATATTTATGTTACTGTCGAGCCGTGAGAGTTATATACTTGCTAAATCCACAGTTGCTTCATTTAAACGTGTAAAAAATCATATTGGGTAATTTGCATCAATGACCTTTTGTAGACTAATCTCGATTAGGAAAGGCTTTTTTAGGGTTAACTAATCGAAATTATGTAGAATTATATAAAATGAGAAAAAATTATAAAATTATTTGCCCTTAAAATTGGGCCACAAATACAACATTAATTTAATTCCAAGAAGAGGGGATAGTCGGAATATATGAGAATTCCGTCGAATTCTCTCGAGACTGTGGTACTTTCGTCGAGGAGCACCGGCAAAAATCGACGCGACTCCGCTCGATTCGGAACGATCGTCCCTCGTGCAATTTGCATTTTCTTCTGCTCGGCGAAAAGGAACGTCTGCTTCGCCGATGATACCCGTGTTACACGTTCGATGCAGCCGAGTAACGTAGGAATATTTAAATTTATTACCCTATCTTGAAACTTTCACTTACATATTCGCACTCGGGTGTCAAGTTGGCCGATGTTTCCTTCTGCAACTGTGCAGTTTCGATTATGATTACTAACATGAGAGAAAAGAAAGCACACTCCAAAATTCAAATGCGTAATAAGTACTTTCATGTACGTGCAGATTTATAACAAATTGCACACACTAGTGTGCACTGGTGGTGCATATTACAATCATTTATTATACTTGGATTTGCGCACCTAGTCAATGAGAAGTCGGTGCAATTTAATAAAGTATTCAATAACATCAAAGTATAATGTTCGAACGTGAATAGTTTCAAAGTTCTAAGGAATGAGGAAGTACATGGAGAATATTAAATTTTATCGCGAAGAGAGAACAACGTACCGTTCGCGTCATGCTAAATAAAGGATAAATCGGATCGAGGATCGGTTCTTAGCGGATGCGTTCGTTTAGCGGATGCGGATCGCGACATGACTTGACTCGGCGCCCCAGTTTCGCCGAGCAAGCGACGACGACGACGGACGACGAAGACGACGACGGGGAAGAGAGGAGCGAACATTGTTATCCCGGCTACCATTGCGATGAGACACGATAATAGCCAATAAAAATACAAATTTTCTGACGCACACCGAAAGGAGGTATTTACCGCGCGGATATGATTGATGTGGTAGAACGCCCACCGAAATACAACGGCGCGTTTCGCCGGCCGTTAAAATTGATGGCCGTGTATAATTTACGAAATCAACAAGCCGTGACGTGCAATACCGGGGTATATACGCGCAGCACAGCGCGGCGCGGCGCGGCGCGGCGCGAGTGTGTGCTTTGTATGTGCTTAATCCCTACTTACTTGCCGCGAAAACCCTTTTATTTCTCGCCATCCTGGGGCTCTCTTTCTCCCAGGTCGTTGCCACGGAGCCGTAGGAGCAGAGAAGACGATGACGATAGCGGTGGGCGACGGCGCCAGTGCCGCCTTTTTAATTCCCCGCACCCTTCTTGCCCCTCGGCCTCCACCACGTCTTTTTCTCTCTCTCTTGTGATTTTTACATTCGATCCATGCACCATCCGATTGCACTAATTAAAATTCCCTCCCGCTTCTTTGCTATTCATGCATCACGCCGCCGCTCCCAAATCGCAATATTGCAGAGATTTAGAAAAAAATTGGACACACGTGTGCGATTATCCTATTCTTGTTGGAGTTTTTGGAGGTCAGAAGTACGCAAGCAAGACTGTGGAAACGAATAATGCAGATAAACTGATAAAAACGTTATCCATATATATGTATATGTATATATCGTTGTTATAAATCAAATGGAGTATCTAAATTTTGAACAGTTCTTTCTAATACAATTTTATTATACGAATCTTCTGGATCTTAATGCGTATCCTGGATCTTGATGCACCATGCGCGCTTTCTGTTTACAGCGGAAATGGCAAATTCGCCAGCTGGGCCGCCATCGTTGGTTTCTTGGTGATGATGTCCTTAGACGTTGGCCTAGGTTAAGGACATCGTCACAGCGCGTCCACGTTTTTACAAACGTGTGTAAATTGTGCGGTAACGGTAACAAGTGTTCACAGTTTATGACATCTTAATTTGCGGCATTCACCGAACATTATAATGCGTCTTCTCGCAAAGAAGTCAAAAACTGAGTGCTATCGAGTGTTTTCCAGTGTTTTTATTCACCGGAGAATCGAAGAGAGTAGCGAAATAAGAGAAGTATTTCTAATTAAGAGATGTGCTGTCGTGATTCTTGATAGTCATCGACCGAAACAGAGATATAAAAAATTATATGTTTAAAAAATTGTATTTATATTATGTGAAACTATGTTTTAAGACTTGTCTGTAATTGATCGATGTTCGATTGATGCTACAGTGAAGGCTAAGTTGTGCAATCGCTCAACAATTTTCTAAACCGGTAGATATTTTTCTAGAACGCATTTCACTCCTAGAATGCATTTCACTTCGTAAATGTCTTCCTCGTATCTAATTCTCGTGAATGCAATTCCAGAACTCGAAGATACACGATAGCCTGGTTGACTGAACTTAAAATCGAACATCGAAATCGATATCCGTCAGGAATCACCGAGATAATCACAAGATACGATCGCGAAAATTCTATCGGTAGGTAAAGCAATTAAAACAATATGTGCAGCGTCGAGAAACTGTTAGGAAAAATCAACGTCTCAAACAATTTTTTTATTAGAAATATCAAATACGTAGATTTAGATAGATACTGTGAGAATATATGTATATATTATGTGTGTGTGTGTGTGTGTGTGTGTGTGTGTGTGTGTATGCAGTGGCGTAGCTAAGGGGGGAGTTGTGGGGGCTGCAGCCCTCTCTCCTCCGAAATTCTGAATAATTTTAATAATTTCATAAGAATGTCTAAAAAATTGTTGAGCCGTAAATGTCAATTTGTTTTGAGAGAGGAAATTAAATCCTGTTGGAATAGTTCTCACATATTTAATTTAGTTACATAAATATCGTTTATTATGCATTAAAAATATATTTATTGATTTTTCTTTATATTTGGCACGTAAACAAAAATTTGATAAATTATACGGAAAAAAATGTTGCTCATAGTAACAATCGCAAAAAATGGCGTTAGATTCTGAACGCAGTCCAGCACTTCAACTCGTGAAATCTCAGTCGGATATTAATATTTATTATTCAAATTTTTACACTACAATCTTTGACATATTCTGCAACTTGTAGAATTACTCCGAAATTTTCGAAGCACTTTACAGCAAAATGGCGGATTTTTAATAATATTTTGTCAAGTTTAGTGAATTTTTTTTTAAACGTTAAAGTTGTGTTACAAGTTTTCAAATTAAAAAATTTCATTAATGTTATATTGTAATTGAATATTTAAAGAAGTTTTCTGGAAAACAAGAAGAAGGAAGCCAATAACGGTCAAAGCTGGATCACAGTGCTTATTATAATTGTGTGAATTTTATTATATATACTGCGTATGTAGTCCCCCCCAATCGCGTGCCGAAATTTTTTCTAGACTTACAACACAACTCTAAACAACTACCGCAGTAATATCACTTAGTTAAATTGACAAGCAATCTAACAATTTTTGATGCTTATAGCATCTTATTGGATCTTAATAATATGTTGAAAGACATATTAAAATTTAACGATGTAATGTTAAAGTAATGATAAATCAAAATCTGTGTAAATAAGATTGCAAAGAATATCACAAGTTAGCGTTTCGTCCCGACTTCTACTACTAAACTCATCAGTAAGGCATTGTAGTGGAAGTCTACCTTAGACGTCTGTGTAAGTTATTCGAGATTTTATATAAAGAGATATACGCGTATCTCAGCACTTGCGAGAAATTTTGCGAACATCGATAGACCTCTGATGGCGGGTCGACGTAGTAATATTCTTCGCAATATTTATCTAAAGTAGGAGAATAACGTCTTTTCTCAGGCTGACGTGGTTTAACAAATATACTAGAATCTTTTCACACATAATTATAATAAACATTTGTGATCCAGCTTTGACCGTTATTGGCTTCCTTCTTGTTTATTATTGTTTATCAATTGTACGGTCCTAAAAAGATTCTAGTATTTGTTTTCTGGAAAGTTTTAGATTTTTAAATGTAATAGTAAAAAAATTATGATAATTTATATGCAGCGTCACCGAAACGTCCGACGCGAAAATACTGATTTCTACAGCCCCTCTCGAAACATTTTTCTCACTACGCTACTGTATGTATGTATGTATACCTTTGTAGATATACAAAAGGTTCCAAACGTCAAACTATTCGTTCCTGAAAATATCGTCTGCGATATTTCTTATATATCAAATGGACTTGTGTGAGCGAATTAATAACGCATTCTGAGCATCCAGAAAAGAAAATTCTGCACGATCTATTTTTAAAATAATAATAGAAAAAATTAAATTTTGTTTAATATTGTGTTTTTTTTAATATTATTGAAATTTGGCTGTATGTTTTGGGAAACACTAATGACTAAGTGACATTTGGTTTTAACGTTCCAATTACATAAACAATAAAAAACGTTAGACGAATATGTGAATAAGATCATGATGTAGGAATAAATGTAACATAATAGCATAATAACAGCTGAACACAATTTGAGACAAATTTCTGATTAGTAGCTTAATAGAGACTTAATATTGGCTTATAAAATTCGAAGCTAATTTCTAATTGGTCACAAATATTGTCATAACTTTAAACGACTGTGTATTCTTGAAATTGGTTGACTTGGGTTTCTTAGATCATGAATAACACAACTAAGTATGAAAATACTTTTTTTATAAAATACCTTTTAGGTTTGAACTCTAGATCGTATACCATACTAATAATATTCTGATTATCACAAAGAAAAATTTCTTTTATTAAAATTTAACCTGAATTTACGCTGATAAACGCTGATAGGACAATATAGTAAATTCGAAAAATCTTATGTGATTTTTTCTAATTTATTAATATTTTCATAATAAAATATAAAATATATTCAATTAATTTTACTAAAAAATATAGTAAAGTTTTAGTAATTTAAAAATATTTTAAATAGTTCATGATTCCTTTGTTTTAATAGAATAGGTGCCAAATAATAATATAAATATATAAATATCTTATATAGTACATATAATAATTTAATAACATAATGACTACTATATTAAAATGTAACATGTTAATCTTACAAAGTACATTTTAAATATTTTGCTTTAGAATAATTTATAGGTATATACAATTTACTTGATAATTTTATTACAATTATAAAAAATTTCTTTTGTATATTTCAAAAATTTTTATGATTATCGATAATATTTAATAGATTGTTAAATTGTTCTACATTTATCATTAAACATGATAAAAAATTTGTAGCAAATTTTTTGGTAAAGTAACGAAAAATTCTCTTCGTGGACTTAAAGGAAGTTTCACAACTGTCCGGAACCGATTTGATTCTCCATGAAGTATGTTGTTAAACATGAAAATCTAAAAAGACACGTATTTTTTTATACGTGCGCCAATTCATATGTATAAGGGGTAAAATCTCTTTAAAAAATTATAATATTTTTCTTTCGAGGCGAATATCGTCGGAAATATAAAAGATAGAAAAACAGTTTTTTAATTTTTTTGTGTAACAAAATATCCCCAACATCCACAATTTTTTTCAAATTTTTCAATTTTTTTTAAATTTAACCAAGTGTAATAAAGATATATTATGTCATATTATTTTCAAAAATTAATTATAAACTCTTTCGTATATACGCTATGCTCATGTGCGTAAATAATTATCGTCGAAACAATAAGACATATAATAATATATAAATCGATGAATAAGGAAATTAACATGATTGATATTTCCAGCATCATGAATCCTGATCCAACAGCTACAAGTAAATTTATCGTGTGTGGAGATGTAAAATAATTTTTCTATAATACGATTTCTATCTGAATATAATAGTTCTTCACATCGTCTTAATTGACGTTCAGATTAATAAAACTTTTCTAAATTTATTTTGCACTGATTTTAAAGGACTTCCTTTTCTTGTCGTTATTTTTTTCTTTAATGTCCCAATTCCGCCAGTACTCAATAGTTCGTCTTTTATAAGAACTGTAAAAGTATGCGTGATATCACTTGAACATTCAGGATGAGAAATTGTCTTCACTCCATGCTTTTTCGTCATCTTTAATTATTGCAGAACTATGTAATTTATAAGGTTCTTGATAATCGAGGTAGATAGATTTCCTCTGTTACTTCCAACCCATTATAATAAAGAATGCTACCCAATAATAATTTTTGTATGTTTTCTTTTAATTCAATTTCTGCTTCAGTTACTAGCGTTTCTGTTATACATATATATTGAACTTACAAATATGCTAATAAAAGTCTAACAACATTAAACGGATTCATCATTTTCAAAGATGTTAAACTTATTGTTAGCTTTATATCGCAATATAAAAACAATTTAACAAATTGCACAGATATGATTATAACAAAACGATTATACTGAATGAACGTAAGACTGCAACGTTGAATATACTTATACTGTCCATTTATTATACTTATCTTGAATGTACATGTAATTTTATTATTTTGATTGTGCGGTAATCTTATATAATTACATATGACAAAATCTTCAGACGTGCCATTTTCAAACAATTAAAAATATAATGTATTTTTAAGTGTAACAGCGAATTTTTAATTTACTTTTCAAAGATTTAATTTTATATAATAATTTTATTATAAGAGAGAGAATAGACTTGGAATAAAACTGTCTTTAATTTTTATTCATAAAAGAATTTAAATGTCAAACAAAGAATAACAGAGTTAATAGGTATATATAGTTTTTAAAAATATTACATACTCAAAAAATAATTATATATATGTGTGTATTATTATTTTTTGAATATTTAATGTATAATATATACAGTCATAAAGCATATAAAAAACTATACAAATTTTACTTAAACTCTTTTTATGTATCTTATTCTTTCGACGATAATTACTTATGCACAC